ACTCAGCTTTATATAAAAAAAAATGTATTATACTTAAAAATAATTATATGAATTGAAGCTTTAAGAATTTAAATTTCAGCTTTAAACTTTGTATTGTTGAGGGAATTCCGTTAGATTGTACAATTTAATTTATATTATTTAACATAAATACACAACAAACTAAATATTTACTTTCATCATGTGTATGTTTCGTAAATAAATTCATCCCGATATTAACCCTTGAAAGTGTATTAACCAATTGCTAACTAGATAATTTTTTATAGGAGGGACTTTTACTTTGATAAAAAAGTTCATGCAATGACTTTTTGATTCACGTAAAAAAAAAATTTTTTTTTTTTATTATCCATGTGGTAATAAATGATCTAAGTATATTGCGTCTAGATTTCACTTCAAAATATAATGGTGGTATTGTTTTCATATCTGCAGTACACTAGTCTTATGGTTCTATGAGCGGGGAAAAGCCTTTCTTTTGTATGTATCACAAAAAGTAATTTTCCGTATAGATCCAAACATTTATACATTGTAGAATGTTGATTCTTAATAAATGTTAATATAAACAAATACCAAAAATGAATGTCAATTTAATCAAATATATTTATAAATTCATCTGAAAAATAATCAAATGACTAGATATTGTATCAATTCGTTTATAAAATAAGCCTATATGTGTTTATATTGGTACATAATTTACAAATAAATCACACCATAAGGTGTTTGATGAAGTCGTTGGTGCTTTGAGAAAAAATCAGGGTTGGAGATAATACATTATCTTATACCTTTGAATAGTTTATGATCATAATCATACTTCTCAAGCAAGTAGCGCTGAAGTCGCAAATGTTGTTCAAATAAAGTACTAAGCTCAAAATCAACCTTCTTCAATAAAGTTATTCCTATATTATATGAAAATAAAATATGTAATGGGTGCTGGGAAAAGGGGTCAAATATATTTTGTGTTTCCCGTGTTTTAACCTTAATATAAATATAACTAAATATAGTTAGGAAAACAAAAGTATTATAAGGCTGTTTTCTTTATAAGTAAAAAAATGATTAAATCTATTTATGGTAATTCATAGTATTTGCGAATATTCTAAAGAATCTAGTATTAATTTAGGAAAAAGCTCTCCAAGGTCTTTGATTGAGGGTGAAACAGTAAATATGATTACTTTATCAGATAGATTAGTTATATTACATTATATGACCAGAACCCCGAAAAGGTAACAATGTAGAGTTTGCGTATGAGCCGTATGAGCCAAAATTTATGTGGATCATGTCCTTTTTGATATTTCCCACCAGCATTATATAGTGCTGGCCCTGAAGAGATGCGTAGAGCTTTTAGTAAATGTGTGCCGATTATTGCTCGGGTCCTCAGATCACGATCTCCATTTTTGTTTAATTCCAGCTAGTTAATTTATTTTTACTTCAGCAGCGATCGTTTCTTTTATTAATCATTAGATTCTTGGTTGTACGCGATATGTAATTTTTTTTTTTAAAGAAAAGAAATTTTAAAAAAATGCTATGGCGAAGGTTTTTTCTAAATCTATTTAAAGGGATGCTATAGAGATGAATTTTACTAATATATAATTAAAAGGATTATAGAGGAAGTTTTTTTTCGTTTTTTTATTGATGAGATGCGACGATTAAAAGCTTCGAGAATTTTTTAACAAATTTATTAAAAACTTCGGTGGTACAAACTTAATTTTTTTAAAAAAAAGTATCATTTAAATTAAGCTTTGAAGAGTGCGGTTTTTGTTCTTTTTAAATTAAATTATTAAAAGAAGAGAAGCTATAAAGTGGAGTGAATTAGTTGTTTTGATTAAAGAAGAGTATTTTTTTTTTTTTTCTTTTTTATTTTCAAGATATTATTTTATTTAATAGTATTATTTTTTAACTATTTAAATATTTTTGTAATTTATATCTTCCCCAGGATCACCATCAAAAAAACCTCAGAGACGTGATTATAATATAATATTTATCACATATTATCACATCTCTCAAGTTTCCGTTTTTACTATTATTCAAGGGAGTTTTTTTTGAGTAGTGAAATCTTATTTGTCACATACAATTTGTCACGGTTAGAATTAGTTTAGGGTTAGGGTAGTTAGGGTTAGCAGTTGGATGGTTAAGGTAGCGTTAGGGTTAGGTGTTAGCATATTATTGACAGTCCGAGGATGTTTGATGAACTTCCCACATGTCACGTGCTGGCGATTTTTGTTGGTTACGCTAGGAAATCTGTTTGATGGGAGTTGTAATTTATTTCATAAGGTCACATGATAGTTGCATGCTTGCATTACCAAAGTCGTTCAATCGAAGTTTCAGCAAAGTGGCTATCAATTTATATAATTTTACTAAAAATTATTGTGTAGCTTAGAATTAAAGCTCATTTATAAGTTAAAAATCATTAATATCTTAATTACTGAAAACAAAGGTTATATATTTTTAAAAATTAGATTAATAATTACTTTATAATAAGAAAACATGTTAAATTGCTAGGATGAGTTCCAGCATTTATCTAATTATCATAAACTGTAAAATTTAAAAATATTTTTTTTCTTAGCAATTGAACTGAAAATCCAAAGACTTGCTATACATGACTTAATTTTGGGCAGCATTAACATTTTATCAGAATTTAACTTTACTTAATATTAGCATGTTATTTATATCAAATGTTATCATAAGGATTTTGTCAAAGGTTAGCACATGGCATTTGTAATTGTTATGCAATAATATTAATCAATTTATTGTTTACCAAAAAATTTTACATAATTATAATTAGACTTTTAAACAAAAATTTTTTAATTAGTAAATTACCTGAAATAATTTTTTAATAAAGGTCTTTTCTTTTTTTATATGTCATTCTATTAGGAGGTGAGATTCATCAAATAGGATTTTTGTTAATTTTTCTTTTTTTGTAATCTTAAACTAATATAGGATAATTAAAAATTTTATAAGAACTAAAATTTTAATATTAATAATCATCAAAAAAAAATGAATAAATAGATATACAATAAACAAAGTGATAGGGGATTTATTTCTATACAGTATAATTCAAATCAAAGAGAAAAAAAATGTTATACTTTAATAATAATTTCATTGTATTTTTTTTATGAAATTAAAATTTTTTTTAAAAATATTAAAAGCTTATAAAGAAAATATAAAACTTAAAAATTTTACATCTCTTTGAATAAAATTAAATAAAGAAATAAGTAGCTTTATCTTTATTTTAAATAAAATAATATTAATAATAATAATAAAAAGAAAGCTACAAAAAATTATGTAACAAAAGTAAATGTTGTAACTTTTTTCCAGTTTTTTAAGTAAATAAAAAGTCATTAAATAATAGAAATTAATATAAAAACAATAATATTAAAAAAAGAAGTCTCATAAAATTATAGTATTTTAACTAACTGTAATAAGTAAGTCTGATCAACTTAATATATAAAAGAAAATCAAATTTATTCTTCTTTGATTTTCTTTTAAAAATTCTTAATTATAATATATGTTAAATTATATTATAACTAACTGGTATTAGTAAAATATTAGAAATTTTTTGAAAAATTTAATAATCCCTTTAAAAAAAAAATATTAATTATATTAAAAGAATTCTGACAAAATAAAAATTGTATATTAGTATTACTTTATCTATAAGATGCTTAATTTTACTAAATCAGTAAAACAAAATAGTGATTAATATTATAACTGAAGTAAAATAATGAAATTAATTATAAAATAGGAAAACTTATATATTATAATTCTTTGATTTTGTTAAAAAATATAACTTTCATAAATATCAAAGAGAAAGAAAAGACGTTACAGCCTAGATTCCTTATTTGAATAAAATGTCAAATATATCTTATAATAAAGATAAGACAAAGTTAATCAAAAAAGAAAAACTTTAAAGGAATATACAATTTTTTTGTTTTGATAAAATATATAATAGATATAGTTTACTGAGCTTTTAAACATCTTTTTAAGAAATTATTAAATGAATCAATTAATAATATAGCATTAAAAAAATTCAATATAAATGAAGATAAGTTAAATTGAATCAGTTAATTAATAAATAATGAAAAGTTTATTTTGATTTTCAGAGCAATTTTAATTGAACTAAATTTAGAGATTTGTAATTCTTATGTATTAGAAATTTACATAAATAAATAGTTTTATTTTATTTGAATTTTTTTGATAATGTATACCATAAAAAAATTATGTTATATGAATAGCACTATAGTCAAAGCTGATTATAATAAATCCCTTTATAATAAATGCTAGATATAACTAATTCATAATTTTTAAATTTTAATAATAGTTCATTATAAAAAGTATAATAATTCATATAAAAAGTATAGTAATTTATATAATGAACTTTTTTTTTAACTAAACTGTTAATTTGTTATAAAGAACGTTGATTATATTAAAACTCAAATTTTAAAATTTTATTTTAATTTTATAAGATCAATATTTTTTTGATTACTTTTCATACCTTTATATTAAATATTTAATCTATTAAAGTTCATTTTAATCTGAGAAATAAAAGCAATAATACTATTAAGGATACTAGATGTTTTATGATAAACTTATCACTAATATTAGCATCAGTAATTATTTTTAAAAAGAGATTTTATATTAAATAAAAGAAATTATAATTTATTTATTCTTGTTAAAGATATAGAACTTAAGATGATTTAATTATAATATATTGTATAATATTATTTATCCTTTTGTTCTCATTTGCTAATAGGTATTTACAGTAAGAAAAAGGAAAATTCTAATCTTAAATAGTAATATAATCATTTAAAACCAATAGTTAACAAATATAAAATTCATTTTTATAAAATTTTAAAGATAAATAGATAAAACTTTGTATCTCAAAACTGGGATCAAACTTTAATATAAGTAGTTTTTTACTATCTAACTAACTGATAAGACAAATTTAAAATAATATAAGTTTTATTAACTTTTATACATATGATTATTCTTAACTGATTTAGTCTAGTCTTATATTCTTTTTGTTTTAATTATTTTAGATTTTTCTTCTAAAAAAATGATAATATGCATTTGAAAATCTATTTACTTATAATAATATATGATTTTTTTTATTTTAAACATGATACTATAAATCATTTAAATAACAAACAATAAATAAATACATATCTTAGATTAACTGTAAAAATTCTAATTGAATAAAGCATTTTTTCATGATCACATAAACTATGTAAATTGAAGGATCTTTTGTATCACTCACTTTTGATTAATATCATAAGAACAATAATCATATTGATTTATTATATAACAGAAATGACTTTCTAGATTATAAAAGCAGTTAGAAATCTTGCAAAAAACCACTGAAAAAAACTAATATATTTTATAAAAAAGATTAAAAGATACAAATTGATGTTTATTTAAATTTACAAAAATTTTTTTATATATTTTTTCAAACTTGTATATTAATTATATAATACAAAATCTCTATAATAGGTAGTAATAAAATATGACTAGGTTATTTTAATTTTTTTAAAATAACATTAATTATAACATATGTGACTTATGGTTATTAGTTATTATAGTCATATTAGAAATGATTAAGTGATATAACGTTATGACTGATGGTTATCTAATATGACTTATATTATAATATTTCTTAATAATAGATTTAAAGAAGTGATCTGTGAATTATAATCTGTATAGATAGCACAAATATCTGAACAAATATCTGTGAATATCTTATAAAATAATATAATTTTTTAAAAAAAATTTTTAAGTTCAAATAATATAAAATCAATTGTTTAATACAAAAAATATAACAGCAAAATATATTTTTTGAAAAAAATTTATTTTACCCTTTTACCTACTGTAAACGTTTTAGTTCGTATAAATACAGTTTAAAATATATAAATAAAAAATATTATGAATAATATGTAAATAATAAACACATTCTATATAAAATAATTTATTTATAACTTTATGATATATTGCTTCTTTTTCTTACAATCTCTTTATTTTATCCTTACTATGATACATTTTATCTATACTCAAAAATAAAATCATGTGATTGAAATTGCAAATAAATTTTTTAAATATATAATTTATAAAAAATTAAAACTGATAAAATGAAAGTTTAAAATATAAGCTATAAAATTATTAGTTTTTTTTAGGTTTATTATAAAATATCGCAACTATTAGCATTTAAATTTAAGGTATTTATATAGAAATTCGTTAGTTTTAAACTATCAATTTTCGTAAGTTACTGTAATTTTCTATTATATTTAATAGGTTATATAAGAAGATGATCATTTAAATTAATTTTTCGATGCCTCTTACTTCTAAAAAAAGCGTCATTACAAAAATCAACTTTGTAAAAATAATAGAAGATTCAGAAACTCTAAGAAATTTAAAGAAGATTTTGGTGTTGAAGAGAATTTTGAAGTTGAAGAGGTTCTTAGAGAAGACTTGATAGCTGGTGAGTGGTGGGATGAGAAAGACAGTGGTTGGGAAGATGAGAATTTGGATGAGAATTAGGTAAATGAAGAAACTTTAGTTTGAAAGGACAATGCAATATTAAATAAACAAAAACGTGGTCCTTATCTTGTTGGGCTGATGAAAAAGTCTACATATTATGATAAGTGGGTCCAAATAATACTTATACTATTACTACAAGTAACACAAAAAATATAACTGAATATTTTCTTCCTGAAAGGATTTCAGTAATAATACTCTATCTCCAGATATAGCTGATGAGTTTTCAAAAATTTTAAATAATGTAAATGAAGAGAGTAGTTGGATATTTAAAAATACTTTGCAAAAAATTAATATATTAAGAACTGAATTAGAAAAATCTCATAAAAAATGTCTATTATAGAATATAATAAAAAAAGAGCAATATTCAAATATTTTCAAAGGCTAGATAAAAATAATAGAGGGAAAATGAATGTAAGTATGAAAGCTGCTAAAGTAATGTTTATTAATGCTGATTCCTATAAAGCAACAATAATTCGTAAGTGGGCGGCATATTGGTTAAAAACTGGTTATCTTTCTCCTATTTATCAAGAAAAACATCAAAAAACTGTGCAGTTAATTGATAATGAAGATATCGCTAATAGGTGTAAATCTTGAATTCGATCACAAGGTAGTGATGTTACTTCAAAAACTTTAAAAATTTATTGAAAATACTTTTTTTGTTGAAACTGGTATTACAAAAAAAAAATCTATTTTATTCGTAACAGTTACCCGATAGCTTAAT